CCAGCTTGCACAGGAGCGTGCGCACGGTGCTCCAGCAGGCATAGTGCGGTCGTGCTGGTTTAACAGTCAAGCTTGTCCCTGGCAGTGGCAGACCAGGAATGGACACTTGGGTGGTGTCTCAGAACTACTAGCAAAACACACTAAGCTCCCTTAAAGTCTGACTGACTACCAACGTTGCACTCTTCGCGGCACCCGTCGCTCACGCCAAATGGTTGTGCTTCGATTTGGCACCTCGTTAGGCCTACATGTTTGCCTAGGCGAAGGTGAGGACAACTTGGACTCTTTGCTGCAGGCCATGATTTCAGTGAAACTCCTGGCTGTGGCGATGGAGATCCCCATTTGAAGATATTTGAAGTATTTGGGGATAACTCCCTAGAGGAAGTTTTCTCCAAAAAGTAGACCAGGTGCGTGAAGCTCATATGTTGTTTTGTTCCATTGGCTTGGCCTCAAGGGCTGCCCAAATGGTTCGTTGGTCAGCAGAGGCCAATGTGGCCTGGGAAATAGGTGGATCTTGTTGGCAGATGTGAGATGAATGTACTGTGACAGTTAATGGGTAATGATGGGTAGTCCTTGTTGCAAAAAGCAAGCCTGAGACAAACGAGAGCAAGGCAAAGAAACGCTAATGTGGGGTTAATTATAGATTGCATTATATAGGTTCTACCATTTATTATATAGATCCTTTTTTTTTAAGAATTTGAGGTGAGTTTGTGGTCTTTGATCAACTTCAATGTGCAAGCACACAGGCCTTCCAAATCAAGCCCAACCAAATAGTCCTTCTGCGCAAAAACGGGGCAGACTTTGAAGACCAAGGATTTGTGGTGTTTCTCGTTGATCCGTTGACCAAATTCGTTGGATTTCCAATGAAACGATGAGGCGGTGTTGATCCATGAAACGGCTCTCGTCCAACCCTTTCGAGGCTGTGAACGATGATAGCCCCGGCAAGGCGAGTGTATCAAAGAATTGAAGTGAATCGTTTGGGTGAAGTGTATCATTGGCTGATCTTGCGATCAGGAATTTGCACCCAAATAGAAATATATATAAATATATATATATTATATAATATAATATATATTATATTATATATATTATATTATACATTATATATATTATATATGTACATATATAGATAGATAGATAGATAGATAGATAGATAGATAGATAGATAGATAGATAGATAGATAGATAGATAGATAGATAGACGAGAGATGAATTTGGCCTTCGCAGTCAGTGGCCTCAAATTGGTTGTTTCTGACATGAGGGGGTCACAATAAGTAGAGCGCTTGTAGGGGAGACAGTTAATAAACATCCTTTTGTTGGCTGGAAGGGAGAAAGGCGTGCAGCCACCCAAAACTCCGACGTAAAAGTCCTCGGGCCCAAGGGCGGTGCTCGCGCAAGCGAGCAACTGAGTGCGTTTGTTTGATAAGTTGGTTGATTGTTCAGTGCCTGATGTTCCTGCCACCTCACAGGTGGCCAGGGTTGTGACCGGGTGTGGTGCGGTGACCTTGCTCTTTTGCTTCGTGTTTTCCTAGACCCTCCCTTTCCCAGCACTGGAGGGCTTCAGCACTGCTGAGTATACTATACTGTGGGTGTCCGTTTTGCTCCAGTGAAACAGGGGTGTGTGTGCCTTCTTACTTCTTTTTCCGCGACCATTGGTTTGGAAGGTGACCTCTTAGAGTCTTACAGTCTTCGCACGAGTCTTACATGAGAAGTACGTGAGGAACATCCGTCCTTGTGCGGTTATTGACACATGCGAATATGTGCAAGGACAGATAACATAAAAATACATACACCTCTTCATGTCATGATCCACCTCCACATATGCGATTCTTCATTGAATCGCACAAGCCCCATTCAAGTGGGCTTATTTGTCCTGCTCTTGAACCTCGCGACTGGGCCAGGGACATTGCCTCCCAACATTGCCCAAGAATGTATGAGCACACTTATGTTCAGTTTGGCGATGTGCTTTCACTCACCAGGTTGTTTTTTGGAAACACACCATACATTTGGGATAAATCTTCTTTTGAGTTTTGAAAAGAGGTCATGGACCTGCGCCACCGTGGTCATGGACCACCGTGTTCGCAGGTGCCACGCAATCCGCCACCTGGTTGGGTGGCCTCGGAGTTGGCGTGGGGCGTCCCAGGGCGGATTGGAGAGACGTCAAGAGAAGCAGGTGGTGTCCAGTGGTGTCCTGATGATTGGAGAAAGCACTTTGGTTGATGGGAGACTCATCGGGAATACACTAGATAGTTGGGACTAATATATGTGTAATATATATATATAGATCATATGATATGCAGTAGTATCAAGGATAGGGCCAGTTCATTGACGGTGTGGCCAAAAATCTGTGGGTTGGCCAATTTCTGCATGCCTTGGGGGTTGACAAGGCAGAAGGATCGGACATGGTCGAACCAACTACAGTAAAATGATTTGTTTTTTCAAATCATTCCCCTCTCAATGTACAATCTTTCGAAGCATTTCACGGATTTGTTGGCCAATCAGTGCTCAAACTGCCGGTGATATGATTGGAACATCATTGGTTTTCACAAGTGTTCATGGTGAAGAAGAACTTAGTAGTTTCTGCGACCACAGATAGACTCCAATATGTGCTTACAGAAACAAGATCTATTGCCTAGCGATCGATGCGCTCCATGTATTCCTATGATTTGTTTGATGTTTAGTAGTTGTATGTGTTTGGGGCAAGGTTCATGAATACAGTAGGTGAAACACATTGCGAAGATCGTAGATTGAAGTACTATGTGTGCGGTTTTTGGCTGCAGATAACATGTCGTGCTTTCGATGAAGTACCACCGAATGAATTTCAGTTACGCTTGACGCATCACGCCCAGGTCGTGTCACTCGTGTATATTTAGATTATTTTTAAGTTTCTAAAATAATGACAGTCGCATTACCATCATGGTCCGTCAAATCAATTTTGTAGATACAATCACAAAGGTGTGGTAGTGGTTACAATCTGACAAACTAGTTGCTACTGTAGTTTTGATTTGGTCCATGAAGGGCCTACCAGCAGTAATCCATCCGTTACTATATATTATTCCATCCGCTGAGGTCCTACTGTTGTTGGATCCCAGTGGTGCGCCGAGTGGCAGAGCGTCGCGTCCGCGGTGTTCGCGAGAGCGTCCGCACTTGATGGATCGGGGGTAAATGAGGTCCACTGAGTGTCGAACACGAGTATTTCATTTTTGTAAGATGTAACATGAGATGATGAAAACTCCTGCCACAAGCAACCGTCCTATTTGATAGAAGTCACAGCATCCCAGATGTAGCCTGGGGGGGGGTCGCAGAGCAAAATGTTCGTGCTGCTCAGGCATCTCTCATGGGCAGAACAATAACCACCACCTGTCCTTATTTAGCTGAAGAAACCATCTACCAGCCCAGCTTCGTGGGTTGAACACAGGAACCATAGACTATACACCCCACCGGCGGATAAAGCAAAAGGTCTTGCGGAGAACTTTCAGTTGTTTGTGTGCCATGTGAGTGGGTTTTTTCCGCCCAAGCACAGAGACTATTGCGCATCATTGCAAGGCTTCCTTGCCCAGATGTTTGGTGGTGTGCTAAGAGGGCCAGCCACTTGAAAGCTAGGACTTGCCTCATATGATCCTGCACCACTTCGTTCTCTTTCTCTACTCTGAAAATACCAGGCGGGAGGAGCGTGCAGCTTTCGGTATTGTGGGGCGCACATTCCCCTCATGTTCTCTTGTTGAAGCTGAGACAGCAATTAGATTAGATAACTGCAGTACCCTCAGGGCACCGGAATGATCGTTTGACTCCCGAAAAGTGTGGTATGGAATCCGAAAGTTCTCTTCTAAACAGGATTGCTGTCCAGAATGAACATCCAAAATACCAGAATCATCGTGATCAGCTCGTGGGATGACTTTCTTGCTTGATTCTTTGGACTTTTCGTTGTTCTTCTTTTCCTCCTATAATGTTTTTTTTTTTTGACTTTTCCTCCTCAATCTGGAATTGTTACAGCTTTCAATCAGGCCGTGTGAGCGAAGTGGATGAAGGTCCTCAGTAGGTCTTCTGAGAGAGAGAGAGGGCACAGATGGACGCAGGTGCTTGCATTCCAAGTCTAAAAAACCCTCTGGCTGTTCCAAGGACGAAATGACGCGACGCGACAGCGACGCTGCACCTGAGATGAAGACTCCAGACCTTCACTTCTTAGGGGTCACTTGAGGGATTCCAGCTAGGGTGTTGTTTTTCCATCAACCATGGGACAGGGGTGCCTTCTTTGAACCTCAGGTTTGGGCATTTGTCCATTGATCAACTCTATAGGCCGGGCAGGTGGAAGATTGGTTTGGAGATCAGCGGACCGGTCACAGAGTCACAGGTGCTGTAAAACGCAGTGGACTGGTCTTATGGTTCAGGAGTTGGTTGAGCAACATGAGATCTAAGACCCGCTTGGGTGCTGAAGTTCACCAGTTTTAGCTGAGTGTCGGCACAACCATGGTTCGGTGAATGCTCTCCAATAGAGTGAATTGGGTAACCGGGGTATCTTGGAAATGCTGATTGACTACATTTATATATGTGGTCTCCAACTAACTCCAACTTTGTGCTTATTACATTGGTTGAACGGTTGGTGATGCGTGCTTTGAAGGCATTTGGCAATCGAGGATGTGGTTTCGTGCAAACGGCACTTGTTTGTGTTTAAACCCACAAACAGATGGCTTTTGTTGTGCAAGACTCCCACCACGGATTTATGACATGGTTCTTTAACTGATGGGCCGTCTCAATGTTTCGTATGCCAATTGAATAACACACGTACTCCAAATATCCACTCTGAGTCCCCTCCCATGAGCTCGACTTTCATTTGGCAGGTGAAGACTACCAGACTATGTTGGTTGTATAACATGTAACTTGAGGCAGCAAACAACATAATTAAGATTAGTCAAATGACCCTGGACACCTTCATCGACGCATGTTTCACGTTTGATTCGGCGTTCTCTATCAACTATGCTTACTGGATTGTAAGTCTTTTCAAAGTTTGCATGGTATTGATTTGAGTATCTTGCATGTGGCCTGTCCAGATGTCTGCCTTCCGCAGTGTTTGCTGAATGCTAAAGCAGTATTTTTGCAAAATCTAATGCTAGATCCATACTGACCATTGTTCCCCTCGCGGCTCCTGGCATGCAAATTGGTGCACAGCGGGATCTTGAGGGATTGATTTGTTTCATTCTTTGGGGGTACAAACTATTTTTTATACTACATGGTGGCAGCTTTTTGAGCATGGTGGCATGGCTGTGCAGGGTCGGTCTTGTTTTTCTTTCGTTTATCCTCGACCCCGACCCTGCACCGAATCGGACGCATCACCGGGACCGGGACATGGATGCATCACTGGTCCGGCTTTCCGTTGGCATCTCTAGACTCGTATCACTCCCCGAGTCTCGATGAATTGCATGGGCCAAGTCTCAAAGATGAAGGGCTGAACTGTCATGCAAAGGAATGGCTGGCTTACGCCTTTGACATAATGACATGTCACTCCCCTCCTGCAGGATGCAATTCTGACTGAAGATCAGCTTCCCATTCAACTAGAAGCTTTTGAAGTCCTGTCTCATCGCAAGTAAAGCAACTAAACCATGAAGTCATATGATTAATTAAGGTATTGTTACCTAGCAGTAGTTGAGCTTGGGTAAACCACACCACTCCTACGCACTTATAATCACTTACGTATCTGATTACACAAGCCTTAGCCAGTATTTCAATAGCAGTCAAAATATCGATCGGTATGATTCCCGAACCTATGCTTCACCAAGGCAACAGCATGGCACGCCACTGGCCGAAAAGGGAGGACCGTGGACGGATCTGGACGGTCCGAGTGTCGTGTAGGTTAAGCATGGTCAAGCCCATAGGGCAATATTCACAAGCCCTATGGCCATAGGCGATAGTCTTAGGGTACTTTTTGGGCTTGGACAGTTTTGTTCTCCGCAGCATGGAGTTCGTTGCACCTGCGGCACCCAAGGGGCAATGTGCGAACGGGATTGAAGATGAGGGCTAAAAACACACCCCGACGGGTTCCTCACGCTGTGCTCCAAGGTACAGTGCTATTGCTTGCTGTTGCTTTTGGTCCGGCGCTGGGCGAGCGTTTGACCTCGAAGCTAGGGTGTGGGACCCGAGCGGGGTGGGTTGGGCCGGTGCCTGTTGTCTTAAAGCGAAGGGATCCACCTCATGCCACTGTAAGAAGTCCGCAGAAAAGCGACTGTGTAACCGGTGATGTAAAAGACATGAGAACTTCCAGAACTCACTAGAAAGGGGCCAGACGCATGGGCGGCAACATTTATATACTCTTCAGGTCCAGGGATATATTTACTGTATTGTGGTCCTAAAGGAGGTGTCACATGCATTACGTATAGGGGAGTTCTTTCGTAAAGGCTAATACATTCTCCAAGCATATTCTATGACCATGGGAGGACTTGGTTTTCAAAAACTCCACCGCAACATGCCGCAACTGAATGTATTCATTGGCAGCAACTTATTTACATTTATTTACTATTTCTGTGAACATGTCATTTTATCAAGCTCCTCACATGTTTTTGCGTGGGTTGGTATAGGATTGCAATGGATTGCAGGCTGGTGATTTGTTTTTGCTTGCTGCTGGCTTTTGTTTGCTAGCTAGTTATTCTGGTTGTGCGTGTTGGTTTGTGTGGCTTGGGTGTCGAAGCTTAGTGGCTCAGTGGGTGTTTCTGCCCTTGGTCGCTTGGTTCTCTTTTTGGGGGGTGGTTGGGTTTGCCTTGTTGAGCGTTTGATCGCAATTCTCCCGTGTTGTTCAGATTGCCTTTTTTCGGCCAGGCCAAATTTGCTTTCTCGCTCTCATGCCTACCTTGCACTCCTGTTCCATGTTCTCGCTGGATCTTGTTCCTGCATTCAGGACCAACCAAGTTGTGCCTCAGTGTCAGATCATTGCAAGCAGTGGAGAAAGGTTGGTTGGACTTGGTTGTTTTTTTGTTCGTTGTTTGTGGGGCTTATGCGGTTGTCGCTGCTGGTTTGTCGTGAATTCATGTGTTGATTGTTGGTCATTTCTGTCATATATCTTCATTGTTAGTTGGTATGTGTTTTGGCTTTGCCAATGTCCTTTTGCATTTGTTTGTCGAGTTCATTGTTATGACATGTGTTTAACGTATTTTTTGTTGAACGTACGCGCACTGTTCATTATTTTATATTTAAATAAGACAGACTATATATATAGTATCAACCGTCAGACAACACAAACATTGTTGGAAGCCTGGGGTGCTTGGGGACCTCACGTTTGGATCGCTTAGCACAATCGCCAAGAAGCCAACTTCCATGCCAGGAAGTTCCAGCATTTTGGCAGTGGAAGGTTAGCTGGGAACGCGATGTGGAAGGTTCTTCGTTCTTATCTTGCTCTGCAAAGAAGCATACTACTAGGAGCAAGGACGCTACTAGGGGCTCCTGGCATCGCTACTAGTAGCAAGAAGCTACTAGGGGCTCCTGGCCTTACTACTAGGAGCAAGGACGCTACTAGGGTACACACGGTTCTGAAACTGATGCCAATCAAAACCTTGACCGCGAAACCGTGGAGCATCGTGGAACTGGCGAACATCGATGGTTTGACCAAGTCTTGATCGATGGTTTGACCCTTTTGACCCTAAGATTTGATTGGTCCAGAGTCCAGATCTCATAGGAAAATGCTGGGCTCCCTAGCTATACCGATAGACGAAGTCGGGATCACCCAGTTGGGTTTCCAGATCAACCATTCAGGGCGATCCAAAGTTGCAATTCTCAGGAAAAAAAAACGGTTGGAGGGCATCGCTATTTGGATGGAGGCCATCGCTACTAGGATGGAGGCCATTGGCCATTGCTAGTAGGTGAACACCATACGAAGAGTGGGTGACAGGGCGGTTTGACTTGGCGGGAAACCAGCAAAAACATATGAGCAGTAAATCCTAAGTACTTGTAGGCCTGCAGATGATGACCCTCAATTCAAACAAGCCATGTTTGGAGTTTGAGCAGTTGTAGGAAAGCGGGGTAGACCAACTGCGACTCAGCGTAGGTCTTCAGTTCGATTATTTTTCCAGCTGAGGAGTGATGATAGTGATGCTGGTCGGGGACCTAGACTAGACAAACCTTGGATGGGTGTCAACATGCCGATCTTCACATGTTCGCCACTACGCGCGCACATCCGACAACTGGCAAACACCTGTCCAAATGGATCAAGAGCAAATTTGAGGTGAACTAGTAGTAGCAAGAAGCTACTAGGTGGAGGCCATCGCTACTAGGAGCAAGATGCTACTTGTAATTAACAAGGAAGCATGACCAGTCAACTAGAGCATCTCAGGGCTAGGGTAACGTCTAAGGTAAGCAGAGGAACCGCAAGTTCGGTCATGGTCAAAGCGGTAAGATTCTAGAGAGTTCAACACTGAAAGTATAGTCGTAAATCTGAATTCATCTCGGAGGCATTGTCAGCCTGAATCCAGGACTGCTTCTATTACATGCCATGTAAACACCACCGAACACGACATTGACTCACTGACTATCCGAAAAGGACTTAGGTGTTGGTATGGGTGAAGTTTCACGTTGAACAAACTCGGTAGAATCCATGATTAAGAGATCCAAGAGGGTCTCCTCCACCATTCCCAAGTACTACGTAAGACTACTTCCCATCCAGGGTCGTCCAGGGTTTCCTCTGCTGATCAGTTTGAAAGAGCAATATTATATAATATTGCTAAATGGTGCCCACCATAACCCACGAGCTAGCAACCATTCGTTAATTTGTGTTTTGCCATGACTGTTCACAGTGTATGAGAGAACCTGGACTTTTGCTATTGGACTATGATTATGATACCAATGTCAAAGCCTATGCTTGCTGAAAAGATCTGAAAGGAGCAAATTCCACATTAGTAGAGCTTTGCCTGTGGTTTCGTGGATAGCTCTACAACCACCACTCACAACCAAAGGAGGTTTGTTTTAATCTTTTGCCCAGGCTTTGCAAACCTGAAGATAAATCGTTTGGACAAGGCCATGGATGGTGGGACAGGACAAATGGGAGCTCTGAATCTTGAAAGATGGCTTGGATTCTTGGGTTCTTGCTTGATGACCTGGACATGAAGTCCTTGGTAGGTTTGATTGTCACCATGAGTCATTGAGTGTCAGTTGTGACACTCGGTCCAGTTCGATCACACAAAAATGTGTTTTTCTGGGTTTGAATTTGTGACTTGCGTTCCATTTCATTGTCCTGGAACCACAGCTTTTGAGTGCTTTTGAGGGAAAGAGTTTTGCCTAGCATGGTAGATTAGTCTTTGTATGTCTTTGCCATTTCTTTCAACCGCAGCTTCATCCGTCATTCCTTTTTGGCATGCATGACAAGGAAAGCACATGTGTTCAAGGATCAAATGAAAATGGAACAAACAACTCTCGTTGTGCACCCTCAAAAACAGGAAGCCAACAGCTCTTGTTTCCTTACAAGAAACACAGCCCCCTTAAGGCTTCATATGCTTTCGATCGAACCAACAATGAAGCCCTCCAGACATCTTCCATGGTGTGGGCACTCCCTTTTGGTCTGTGCCACACACCCGCATTCCGACGTTTTTCTCTCTTCTCTTCGGTGCATTCAAGACGGGTTGACATTTATCCGTCAGAGGTGGTTTGAAAAAAATTGTTCTGGGTAGACTGTCAATTTTCTTGTTTGGAGACTAGCTTTTGGCATCTTATCCAGGAAAGAATGCAATAACTATAAATAACTTAGCTGTTCACGAGCCAATCCCATGCAAAGTCAAAAAGACACCCAGTATTTGAATTGGACTGAAGAGTTAGCGGTAGACAACGTACAAGAGCATACAACTCATGGCATGCAATTCATGACGGTTTTCTTTCACAGGATATTCTGTCGGCCTTTTTCACCTGGGACCTGAAAGGAATTGCGAATTCATACGTCCCTCCGTCGGTTTCAGGTGAAGGTCGAAGCGATCTCTCGGGCCGAAGCCCTCCGGCTACGTCAGAGCGGGCTCCGCTTCCACGAGGTCCGGCGGTTCGCTTCTTCCGTCGAGGTTCGTCGTAGCAAAGGTGGAATGACACATCTGGGGTTCGGAGTCACGAGAGTCCGAAAAGGCCACACGGCCGACCCATGGGGGCTGACAGTCGACCGCAGGACAGCACTGTAAAGGCGCAACATCTCATGATTTGGTGGGCAAGGATGTGCAAGGCATTGTCTAGTAAATTCTATTCAGGTGTTCGATTTTGAAGTTCTTTTGGTGCGAAGTTGATGTCCAGCCAATGATTCTGATTTGAAGGCGGTATGGGAAAGCAATACCACAACGACTCATCCGTGTCTTGCAATTTACCTCCATTGTATAGACTCAGCATAGACATCATAGTTTGGTAATCAACCGACCTGGGTTCTAGGTATCGACATACCTTTGTCTCCGGGTAGATTTGTTTCAGCCTCTGTAGTTGAACCATGTTGAATCCATAGGCTAAAATTGGTCAAAGTAATTGCTGCATGCAAGATTATGAAGTATACTATTACGTGCTGCCGATAGTTCCAGTATTTTATATATTATATATATATAGTATCTCAATCTCTTGAACTGATGTTTGCACGATTCGGGTCAGGTCGAGCATCATCACTTCGGTGATGGAAGCAGCAACGGTGCCTGGGCGAATCGACGGACGATGCTGCGAGTGACAGGGTTCTGTGCCCGAAGTTCGACCTCGGAGTCCAATGAATGAAGTGCCTCTTAGCCCGTGGCCCTGCCTCCTCACTTAGTTAAGTAGGCGCCTACTTAATTAACGGAGTGAGCTCAGGGCGACTAGTTAGCTTCTAGTAACTGGATGCAGGATAGCTCACGCTTCTTCAAGGAAGCTCCCCCGCCTGAGGGCGGGGGGAGCTTCCTTGAAGAAGCGCTCAATCATTTGGTTCCTAGATTTTTAGGGAAACTTACTGGATAATGAGTCATGAGGTTTCCATGAGAGATCACGAGCAAAACCATGAGACTGGGCGTTGGTATGCGTTGGTATTTTCTCGTTTTGGGCAGCATGGGGCCACCTAAAATAGGGTAGTTTTATGATCGTTTATGATGTTCCATGCATTCTCGCAAGCAGCTTTTGATCGGGGTACGCTCTTGTTTGCCCCAGTTCACCCATTGGACGATTAATATGGAGCCTTGACACTGAAGGCTAAAACGTCATGGCCTTTGAACAGTTCATTTCGCACATTTAGGGTATTTTAATTTTTTCACTTCATAGTACTGTAATATTATGTTCTCCAGTAGTACGGAGATTTATGGAGAGTAGTCACTCTTAGTCTGTTCCAAGACACGTGCATATTACACTTGTGTTGCTATGACTATGATTTGCGTTATGACCACTTTAGCGTGCCCCCAGGCAAAGTCCTGCAGGCGTGCTGGGAAGAAGGGCTCAAGGGACCTCAGCACAGCAACTGAATCCAGTGACCTGAGAGAACGCTGCAAAGATGGAAAAATCAAGACCAGCTTGCACAGTCATGATTAACCAATTTGGTTTGATCATTGGTTTCCCCACCATCTTTAACATTCTTTTATATAACCGTTTGCTCTTTTGGACAGACTCCTTGGGGGTCAGTGATGAGTCGGTCGTGGTTCAGAGAATCTGGTAGCCTTGAGCTGGTGACGGTTCTCGAAATCCTGGTGACATGAGGCCAATGTGGTTGTTTCGGCCCCCCCAAACTAAGACTTAAGGTTCCCTTGTTTTTTGGTACCAACCAGGTACTGTACTATGTTTTCAGGCATCGCTCCGCATTTTTTGGGGATATCTAATATCATTACCCGAAGAATGGGTGGGTGAATTTTCCCCAAATAAGTATGTTATGAGAAACATGGCACCAATATCCTGTGGGTTACGGTTACTTCCATGATTTGACAGGAACAAGTAGAAACGTAGACTTGTCGTACCCAGCAACCGAAGACATGTTTGTGCAACACAAGGTTGGCAGATTAGGGAGAATCAGTGTTTTCGGGTGTTTTCTTCCCAACTTCTGATTTATTCAGATGGTCGTTGTGAGCCGAGTTACAACGCTATTTGTTTTGTTTGTCATGTGTTTTTTTTGTTTGCTTGTAGCTCAGAATTCAACAAACATATGTGGGCAGTCCAAATTGGGCCACATGTTGGAAGACAAGAAAATAACACTACACTAGAAGCTGGTGTTCAACCTTCACCAGGAATGTTTCCACTGTGGCTGGCCCACAGCTATCCTTGTCATTGCGACCCAAAGGACTTGAAAGAAGCTGCCGCCTCAGCGGATCCATTGAAAGGCGGGCCAAGCAGGGTGGTTCACATGAGGACGCCACTGGGGGGGAGATGACGGGAATTCCTCTAGAAACAAGGGTAGAGTTCACCACAACTAGAAAAGTGTACCTTGCACTTTGAGGAGGTCAACGACAAGGACTTGTGTGAGAGTAGTCTTGTGTTGCAGGCACAGATCAGCAAGGATGTTTCTCTTCACATCAACTGGGGTCTAAGGGATTCTAAGGGATGTGTTTCCCAAGAACAGTAGCAGTCCTTTCACACTTTCTTAGGACCGAGTCTTCATGCAGTTGTCGGAACTTTTTAACGACCGAGGCAGCGACTTTCCAGAAAGCATTGCAAGGACCGTTGCCAGGTATGACTCCCTTTTTGTTTCTTCACGATTTAACTGGTGGATTTATATAGATTAATACACTTCATGCAGGATCCAGCTGGACATGTTGATTCTTCTGGTGTTCCTGTAGGTCGCATCCTGTTGGGCATGCCAAATCATCACCGCAGCCTACGCTAACCATCAAAACAACTCGCGGCGCGACAGCAGTGTCAACCACAGAGACTACAATGACTGGCACAGGCCTGCTCAGGAATGTCTTGAATACTGTTACTATTGTGTGGGAAGGCATACAGTCACGGACACAAATGACTTGGAATAGAGCACTACTGTAGCGCATCATTTCAGGGATTGTGGGAACTTTCAGAGTATATAGAGCAGTCGAATACCGAGACTGCAGCCACTAGTCAAGCGCAGGCTTGCATGTCAACATGGCTGAGCATGGACCCAGCTGTGCATTCTCCACGATCTCGCCAGGCAAAAAGCTAGAGGAGCCTGCAAAGCCAAAGGAATTGACAAGATTTCAGGACAGCTCGGAGGAAATCTGTGCACAATCAGTTGTGGGCATTCAAAATGCATGAAGCTTAACATGGAAACATCCATTTTATTCATATTGTGAATGCATATAATAACAATGAGTACAATTGAATACATTATATGGTGCAGTGTACTGTATGTGTACATAATATTTTTTCCCAGCATCATTCTATCTTGAGGTATGTCAGATCCAATGGAGCAGCAGACAACAGATTCGCCTTACAATCCTCTGCAGGTGAGAAGCATCCACCGCTTGCACCCTTCATGATGTTCTTTTCCATCATCACCCAAACGCGTGGTTGAGTCTACGTATAAACCCTCACCTCCACACTTGCAAGGCATTGAAGAAGCGCATTTCTTTCAGTAAAGAGACCAGAGCAGTCCCACCAAAAGGCGGGGCCTGAAGACATGATGCCATGGACACAGCTCAGATTGGCTTGCAACACAGTCAGGTAATACCAGTATGCTGCGGAACCACACGCAGCCAAGCTACATAATTGGCTCAAGCTGTGTGAGCAGGAAAGGGTAACTCCATCACTCTCCGAAGTTAAGCTTTCTTGTTTGGTTGCTTTCAAAGCTGCGGATCCTTGCTTTGTTTGGCACAACCCTGACTGAACTTCACGAGGACGATCTGCAATAGTGAAACAGTGCAAAAAAATGGGCCAAACTTTGTTTCCAATATGTTTCAATATGTTCAATAGGTAGCCTCAAAGTGGTTTGTGAAGGCTGACAAAGGATGGAAGGCATCATCAAGCCCCACAAACTTTCAAGCTGATCAGTGAATAGATGGTTTTCGTGTTGTGATGGGTAGGATCCATGTTCCTGTGTTTGCAAGGCATCTTGTACCGTGACACTTGCATGGGTGTTTCAAGATGTGACTGCCAGTGACATCGTTCATGATGTCAAGGTGTTTGCAATGCTGTTCGGGGCAGATTGGTTGAACGTGTTTCTACTCGTAGTTGGCTCATGGATGGAAGGCATCAAGCTACCAAGCATTAGAAGAAGGTCCAAAGGCCAACATTTTGCCAGGAAAAGATTCAAGTGTGCCAACCACAAAGCAAGACGAAAAGATCCAGGACGGCTCCCTTTGCTGTGTACGTGCGCAACCTCAATGGAGGAAAACCAATGTCACATTAACAAGGGCATCACTACTAGTAGCTTCTTGCTACTAGTAGCGAAGCCCTTGTTACTATTAGCGATGCACCTTGCTACTAGTAGCAATAGATCATCAGTCGACCGCTTTACGTTTGATGTCGCTGGGCGATGGCCCGATGCAACCTACACGTGTGGTTTTGTGGTTTCAAGGTAGGGAGCAAATGCTTGACCGCTGGGTGAAAGGTCCTGTTGGAAACCTTCAGTGGCAATGCTAGGGGGTCAAGTTGAGTGTGTCAATATCTGAGAGTCAAAGAGTGACATTGCAGATACCAAGTACAGTATTATCTACATATCATTATATTACTGTTTGACTAGTTGTTTGACTATAAGTAAATAACTTTAATATATGTTGTATAGTAGATTTGTTTACTCTATTAAATTATATAATTATCTTGATTGCAAGATACACGGCGGTATTTTTTCCCCTATCTCGATAGCACAGTGAGAACTTGAGAACTGTAGAAGAGGACCGCATCGTTTCGTCAAAAAAAGTGGTGACCGGTGATGCAACTGTAACATTTAAATACAGCTGATCAGACTGCTTCGAACTCAACTAAAAAAAAAACACACACACAAGCCCTCCCAATACAATCTACATGAGAGATGCCCTTAAAATCAACCACCAATCGCATTGCAGCTGTTTTCCATTGCGTGAAGGGCACCTACTAGTCAGACTGTCAATGAACATGAGCCCAACATACCGTCGCACATGGAAACACATTGACTTCCTCCCTATTGACCTCATAATGGAAAGAAACACATCGTATTGAACACTATTCGGTTCTTTTTCGACTGTGTCCCTACTGCATCAGTTTGTGGATGTGGATGCCTCCGTCAACAGGAGGAAGAGGAAGACAGCAATTCGTCGAGCCTGGACACCAGCTTAAAAGAAGCCTTGACACCAACAAGAAAGCGCCTTGACGTCCTCAGACCTCAGGGCCATCCAGGCGTTTCCATGAAGGACTGAAAAGAAGGATGATACCAGTTATGGAGAGCCACTGCCAGGGAACATGCGATGCTTGTGGCTATGGATCATTCTCAATCCATTTCGGACTTTGCTTTATGTGTAGCACTGTAATACTGTAAGTGTAGTATGCGTATAGGTGGTTTCCTGAAGGCATGCAACGTTATATAACACAAGGACAGTGCCTCTCTTGCCTTGTCCCGCAGTCAGAACTTAGATAACGGTGAGAGTACGGTGCTGCTTCCTTCTTGGGTGGCCAGAAGGAGACTCTTCCACTATAATTATATATATATATATCCCCGTTCCGATTTCCTGTATGAAATGGGGTGTCTCAAGTCCACTACGTTGAGGTTATTAATATGTTGCAAAAAAAGAGGTTGAGGCACCTCTTTTTGTAGAGATGAGGATTTTGTAGCGCAAGGCCTTGATGCTGAGATATAGAGGATGGGTCCCTGCAATTTTGTAGTGCAGATTTGTCATTTCAAGATGATTATATCCGATGTTGGGTACGTCCATAATGTAGGGCAAATTTATGCAGCCATTTTGGTGACTCATAGTCGGGTTCATACCATTTTGTAGTCAAACACATTGACAACATAGAGGTTGGGTCCCACCACTTTTGTAGTGCAGATTTCCTGTTTCTTATATGATACTCTCTATGTTGGGTCCAAGGATTTTGTAGAGAAGCAGGGTTGGGTCCTTGCAAAATATATAGTACATGTAAATTTGTGATGTTGGGTCCCCAGTTCTGTTGTTTTACAGAATGGGGGCCCCGACCCCACCACCCTAATTGGCAGGGGGATATATATATATATATTATACAGGAAACCTACGTTTCGTTTAGTTTCGTTTAGTTTCGTATTTAAATGGTTTAGGCACGTTTCGTTTCGTGTTCGTTTTCTTTTTTGTTCGTTTCGTTTCGTTTCGTTTTATTTTTTGGGGGGGGTTCGTTTCGTTTCGTTTCGTTTAATTTTTTTAGTTTTTCGATTCGGTTCGGTTCGTTTATCGTTTCATGTTTTTTCGATTCGTTTCGATTCGTTTATCGTTTCCGCTGCCATATTTTTATTACAGTATCAGTATCAATATTATATAATAATCCTGTACCTTCCATTTATACATGGTGGTCACCCTAAGAACGGCCGGTATAGGGCGTATAATACGAAGAACAGGGGAATGAGGACATGAGGGGCAACCCGCCAAGTAAACCCAACACCTCTTTCAGACCAGGCTCAGACCAGGGTCAGACCTGGCTCAAAGCATGGTTTCTATTGGGCTAGGTGCAAGCTGGGAATTTGTTGGTGCACCCGTTGGGGTGTGTGTTTTCAAGTTGGTCAACCAGCCCTGAGAGAAATCCACTCCAGGACCGGACCTCAAAGGGCATAGCGCTCCCAAAACGGAAGCCCCCCAAGGACTTGCTTGGAAGACTGCGGGGTAAGAAGGGGCAGATGCTGGCTCATCCGATATTTTTGCTGGCTGGGGGAATCGCTTCGCAACGCTACATTAACATTGGAAGCGGCAGGTTGCGGAACTGGCCCTTGGATTGGACGCTCAGGTTCACCATTGATGTTGAAGTCAAATGCTCCCTACTAAAGTCCCTGGGATGTGTGACTTGCACACATGCTCGAACTCTAGATTCAAACCCACAAAAGCCCAGGCAACAAGGTGACCTGCAGGCTACCCACGTGTTGCGGGTATTATCACGTCCTTGCCGGTCCATCCAAGCGGGGCATAAGGATGCCCGCCGTTCTCTGCGACCGGGCTCACGAACTTCCCAGCATCCACCTGCGCATAGAGGGCAGCACCTGGCCAGGACCGGGTGCGAACTGGGAATTAGTTGCTGCGGTTGGTTCTACATTTGTCCCGTTGGGCCGGGTGCGACCTGGGATTTAGTTGCTGTGGCCCGTTTTATGTTTGTGCCGTCTGGGCCGGGTGCAAACTGGGAATTAGTTGCTGCTGTTGGCTCTGTGTTTGTCCCGTTGGGCCGGGTGCGACCTGGGATTTACTTGCTGTGGAGCGTTTTATGTCTGCGCCGCCTGGGCCGGGTGAAACTGGGAATTAGTTGGTGCGGGCTCGTTCTGTGTTTGTTCCGTTGGGCCGGGTGCGACCTGGGATTCCGTTGCTGTAGTTGGTCTTGGCCTCTTTGGCCCAGGTGCGAGTCATACACTTTACAGCCTTCAGATTGAAACGATTAGTATAGCGCTCCCAAAACGGAAGCCCTCTACCTAACGTCTTGTTTGGATCTGGTGGATGGACAACACAGAAGCCGAGGCCAGCCGGCCCAAAGAACACCGTCTGAGCCGGGTCTGATCCTGGTCTGAAAGACTGCTGAATTAACTGGCCAGGTTGTCCTCCCCCAAACATCACCACACATGATTGCCTTTCCATCACCGTTTGCCTGCGTTGAAAGAATTTGTTGGCGCGTGTATTCTAAGGTGAACCATCCATCAAAACCCGCTGATTGCGTACACTATCCATCGGGCCACCGTCTCTCCCTGCGCTTTTTTCTCTTATGGCCCGTAGCCGGTGAAGCAACAGGTAGCAAACTCCGTTGGAGGGTTCTCTCCTCTCCGAAGGAGAGAGGGGCTCCAACCCCTGCCGCCGACCCAGGGGGTGCCAGGCGATTCGGCCGTTTCGTAATTTTTCTCGCCCTTCGTTTCCGCCGTTTCACGTTTCGTTTTTGTGTTTTGTTCGGTTCGGTTCGTTTCGTTTAACAAATTTATTTGCTGCGTTTCGTTTCGTTTCGTTTCGTTTCGTTTCAAACAACTTATCGTTTCAATCGTTTCCGATTCGTTGTTCGTTTAGTTTCGAGCGTTTCCGTTCGATTCGTTTCATAGGCTTCTTGTATACATATATATTTAAATATACATAACAGATGGAAAGCTCTTTTCCTGTTATCTACCACATGTTTCAAGCAGGTCTGCCAAAAAAGAACACCTTGAAACCGGAAGAAGGAACATCCACGAAAACCCGCTGCTGTTTGGAGCCTCCCGTCATTTGGTTCAACTCAGAGACCCTCAATTGCTGTAATTCAAACGACCTTGGAACATCTTGGAACTTGGAACCGCCATCGCCAAATTTTATGGCATCAGCACAGTGGCACAGTGCTCACCCTTACACGGGTGATAGAATCCGCTCTTGCCAAAATATTTGGCTAAATCATGGGCCGGTCCATGAAGTGTATCCCACGTTTGAAATGGGTTCGTTTTTGCATCCAAAGTATTGGGTGCCTCACTCCAAAAAGCATCTCGCTAGCACAAACACAGAGTTGTTTTTCATGATGGCTCAGGATCCGCCCCACACGTGTTGCTGGCTTCCTGTGTGCCCAGTTCGACCTGGACCTATTCGCACTTTCTGGAGGCCAGGAATCACAATCCGAAGGGGCTCAGCCCCCGTGTGGCGAGCTTGTTTCAGCGACGTTTTATCAGTGCTCGTGACGAACGGACCTGCCGGCGAGGGGGTGTTGCATCAATGTTCAGGGTGTCCAAGTCAGTTGATGTGATTTATGGACCAGCAGCTTCCCATTGTCACCGTTCCGTTATTTCATGAAGGACACGTACTTGTGAGCATTCATGACGGAATCTGTTTTTGGAGGACTGACAGCTAGCAAAAGAGGATGCGAGACGAGTGTTGGCATCCAAATCGAGCGGTATTGCTGGACTACTCAGTTTTGACCAGCGGGTGAAGTTATATATTATATACATACTTGAATCTGTTGTATAGTATACCTTCCAGAATCCTGGTACAACGCGTCAAAAGACCAAACTACCTTCCTGTGCCGGTGACAGCATCCGAACTCCTTTCAAGACGTTTTGTGAAAAGGAAGCTTGCAAGGGATTGGCATGATAATGTCCTTTGCGGGTTTTCGATCGGTTTGCTTACCCCAGCACCTGTTACTGTAAATTGTTTGACAAAATGTCCAACAATCATTTGCCTGAGGGCAAGACCCTTTGATGAAGCTTCTTATGCGCTGGCCAGGCTTGATGTACCAGCACCACATTTGCACGTATCACTAGCAAGGGACCCAACTCATAGATAACCGGCATCCGGCACTGTGCTATTCACACTTCTCAACATTGTACAATTAAAGTAGACCAACGGATACCAACTACCAACAGCACGTACGACGTATATAGGTTTCCAATTCTCTGGAAGCAAATAATCCAACAGATGTTCGATGGGATTCATTTTTTTGTGATTCGGGGATAGAAGAAATGCCAACAATTTGTGCGCTTCAGCCATATTCAACTATGATCCAAGCTGCTTTCAAGAAAAGTCAACACACACACACATGTTCTCCTGTCCTTCCACGACTGCTCCCCTCGTCATGGATGTGGAGCTTGAGGTGTTCAGCCTCACTGGAGAAACGTTGAGGCTTCCGGCGGCGAAGTCCAGCACCGGTCGGGAATTGAGGAGGCAGATTGTGCAAACGCTGCCTGTGAAGAAGGCTGCACAGGTCTTGCTGAGACATGGAGATCAAAGGATTTCATTGAACAAGACCCTGGAGGACGGTGGTAAGAATCAACAGTGTTTTTGGACCACTTGGTTTGTCGAACAAGTGGTCAAAGTGCCGAAGACATGTTGCAAGGTTTGTGTGTTGGTTGAACAGGGTTTCTAGTTTATTTATTTATTTATTTATTGTTTAAAATACTTTGGGTGAATAGCATCC